ACTCTGTCTCTGGTGAATCTTCTCAGCCCCCACACCCATACCCCAGTTCTTGTATGCATAAACAAATAAATCTTCAAAAAAAAGGGGGGTGTCTGGCATATCTCATTTCTGTGTCTGATGTCTTTGTAGGTGTCTTTCTGGTGCCTGTTGTTTTATATTGGCTTTTACTCATGTGCTTTCTTTCCTTGTGTGTTTTGTTTTTATTGTGAACTTTAGAGTCCTTGTTATTTCATCTGTGGGAATTTTTTGAGGCCTTGGTTGAGGTGGGATTGCTCCACAGACATTTGTAAGTGCTTCTTCTGAGAGCCTCATGGCTTCCCACCCAGTTACTTTATAGTACATTTTTGTCCTGAGGTGTTTCAGACCACCTGGTTTGCACAAATTCAGGCTTTTGACCTCCACGGGGACTGTGTGGTTCTATAGCCTCAAAAGAGTCCATCTCGGCTCCCTGCAGCCAATTTTACTTGCAGTGCCCTGGGAAGGTGAGTTTATTTCTGGTTCACTCTTAATATGGAGGATGTAGACCTTTGGGGTCTATGATAGACACATCTGGTGATCTCATCACCTCCCTCTGTCCACCTCTGGGCTACACCTCAGTTGTAGTGGAAGGTTCTTTGGGAACACTGTCTCAGCTTTGATTTCTGGGGGATAACTCCTAGCAAGTTCACACTTAGCTCATACTGACAGCACCCCCACTTCAAGTCCATCTTTCTGCTTTTGCTTCAGGACCTTTGTCAAAGCCAGGGAATCTGGTTGACTTGCATGCCCAGATGGCCTGCAGGTGAGGAGGGAGTTGCACCCCTGAAAGGTACTGCTCAACCAATAGGAGAGGAAGCTGGTGGATAAATGTTGTAGCCTCTTGTCCCTTAGGCAGGTCTTCTGTTTGCTTCACAAGATGCACCTGAAGAATCTGTGAGCCTCACAGATTTGTCCTTGTATGGTTCCCTTACTCTCCTTTCCTAAACCTTTCCAATTTCTCATTCCTTATTTCTGCAATCGCCTCTCAGGCAAATTACTTGCATTCATGTTCTTGTTTTGGTATTGCTTTTTAGGGCACCTAAATTAAGACAGGATCTCACCTTATGTGTTTTGCCACAAGACTTTTTCTTCTTTTCCTTATTGTTTCTTCTTTTTCCCCCTGCTAGAAGCTCATAAGTTGTCTGGGATGGAGTGAAGATGCAAATCCTGCCATTTTCCAAATTCCTCATTCATCTTATAAATTCCTTAATAGCAAAAACCTATTCACTGTGCTGTACTAGCTAACTGTAAAGAAAGCACCAGTGGCTTTTTTGCAGTCAGCATATTGTTCTAGAAGTTAGAACGGAAAAGTTCAGGGTATGGTGATGGGTATCAGGGCAGGGGACTGTGATGGCCATATGGGGATATGGATCAATTCAATGACCAGGATCGCTATGGCAGCATCAGATATTATGACGAAGGCTATGATTTCAGGCTAGGCAGTGACTGAAGAGCATTTGGTAGCAGGTACCATAGGGCTGATGACTGCAGAGGAGTTGGGGACCACTTTGGAGATAGATATGACAGCAGAGATGATGGCTCATGGCTCTCCAGAGATGATTTTAGGCATGAGGATAGAGGTCCTCCCCCAAACACCCCAACTCTAAAGCCTCAGAGTACTCCTAAGGAAGATGATTCCTCTGCTAGCACCCTCCAGTCCAGTGATCAGCCTCTGTCTTTGCAGGGATCAAGCCTGTTGACATAGCTGCTAGAGAGGGCAAGTAGAAAAATGGCTGTAGAAAGAACGGAAGTGGCAGCATTAGCTGGATGAGCCAAAACTAGAACGACAGCCTTGGGAGAGACACTCAGGCAGGCGCAGTGAAGAAACTCAGGCGCGTGAATGGTCAAGGAGAAGTGAGTCATCATAGGGCCTCACTGGTAGCCTAGGGGTTAAGTCTCAGCACCGTCACTGCTATGGCTTGAGTTCAGTCCCCAGCCAGGGAGCTACCCACATGGCACCGCAGACCTCTCACTCACCCGCTGCTCCCCTCAGCAGTGTATTTCAGTAGATTTGCCTGTTCTGCTCCCCACTCTGTCTCTGGTGAATCTTCTAACCCCCCTCCCACACCTCTGGCCTACACCCAAGATCTTCTAAGCGGAAAAAAAAAGAAAAGAAAAAGAAAAAAAAAAAAGTGAGTCATCACAGATTGGGACATCAGCCACATCTGGCAGAAGTCAGTCAAAACAGGATGCATGAAGGAGAGTAGTTTCCAGAAAATCAAACACTCAATAAAGAGGAAGACTATCACTCTCAAACTTCTAAGCCTCCCCAACTCAAACAGCCTCTAAAGGTAGTGCCGGTCCATTCACCAACGGAACATGCTTGGTCTCAGGTCTGAGATCTGTTCCATCTTGGAACTTAGATACAGGAAGCAATCCTCAGCAAGTGGTGGAAAGAAAGCAGTATCAGCTCAACTGTCTGAGGAAGGACCAGCAGGGAAATATGAGAATTAGATGGAGTGAGTGTCCCAAAAGGGCAAAGTGGGAATTCCAGCTGTGGTTCAAGAGCTGAAGGGAACAAAGATCATTGAAAGCATTCAGGAAAGAATGGCAAAAAGGATCAACACTCCCGATCTGCACCTGACCCAAAGAAACTGGAAGGAAATCCAGCTGCTCTGTTCAATCCTGTAAGCAAGTATGCTGCTCTCTCCATTGATGGTGAAGAAGAAAATGAGGCCGGTTACACTGAATAGACATCTATATCCTGTGCTTTCTCCTAGCCTCTCTCTACCCTGACACATTCCAGAACAAATTAAACCTCTATCCAGACAAGACAAAATAAAACTCACCGTCTCCTGGAAAAAAGGGGGAAAAAAAGGTAGATGAGGCAAAACAGGAGGTCAAGAGAACAGGGAAGGCAGAAAAGTGCTGGAATTTTATAATCGCGGACATCTGATTCCCACACACCGAGAGGGCAGGCATAATGGGACAGGGCTGCATGCTGTCACCAGAGGGCAGCAGAGGCCAGGGAACAGGTGGAGGTGCAGCCCAAATAATGTAACCTGACATGGGTGTACACATTTTTCTTTGAGTTCTTGCTTTCAATTTTTTCCCCAAAAGCTTTATTTATTTATGCATATAAGAGCTGGGGTACAGCCAGATGTGCGGAAGGGTGAGAGGATTCACCAGAGACAGAACGGGGAGCAGAACAGGGAGATTGACTGAAATACACTGCTGAGGGGAGCAGCGGAGGCAGGAGAGGTCTGCTGCACCACGTGGGTCAGCAACCTGGCCAGGGATTAAACTCATGTTGAGGTGGCTGGCAATAGCTTGATAGCACTGAGACTTTAACCCCTGCACCACCAGAGAGGCCCTCCTCTTGCAGAAATAAATACAAGCACATGTCATAAGTTCAGGCTTTTGCCATTAAGCTAGGCTCTCTTTCTTGCAGTTGATACAATTCTCCTACTTTACCAGATGGTCACTACGTAGGGACAGCATTGTGAGTGCCCATTGGCTTGGGGTTCAGGGCCTTATGGCACTTCCTGTATTCTTCCCTTCTGTAAGGGGGGGGTGCACTCTCTCTTCCAAAGGCCTTGTGGACATTCTACACCCCTGGAAATTCAGTGTCAGCCCAAGAGGATTCTGGGGGAATCTATCCAATGTTCACTGAGTAGGTCTTTTCATTAACAGGTTAGCTTGGTTTTGTGGGGCTTTATTCTCTAATATTTTCCCCCCTAAATCTTCCCATTACCATACTAAAAACTCACTTAGATTTTTGCATGTCTTTTTTTTTTTTAAAGATTTATTTTATTTATACAAGAGCCGGGGTACAGGCTAGATGCATGGGAGGGTGAGAGGATTCACCAGAGACAGAGCAGGGAACAGAACAGGCAGACTGACAAAATACACTGCTGAGGGGAGCAGTGGGCGAGACAGGAGAGGTCTGCTCACCATGTGGGTTGCTCCGAGGCCGGCAGGGATTGAACCGGCACTGCAGAGGCTGCGGACAGCTTCACAGCACTGTGCTCAACTACCTGTGCCACCAGGGAGGCCTAATTTTTGCATGTCTTAACTAGTTTTGTTTCACTCTTTTTAAAGAAACTTGCCTTCACTTAATTTTGTGCTCAAACTTGCTCAGCTCAGGCTTTTCTCTCGTGAACTTGCAGGAAGTTGATCTCTTCCTTTACTCCTCCTTATTGTTCCTTCCTTCCCTTCAAATGTGATGTTCTCTGGTCAGATTTCTGGTGCCCTCTAGAAAAGGGAGGTTGTGATTGCTGCTGCTTGGATGGCACCGATTCCAGTGAGAAATTCTGGGAGCTTGAGGGAAGGGCTGCTCAGACAGGTCACACTTATCTTCAGGCTGGGATAAAGCCAGCACTATTATCCCAGAGAAGAGGTGGGGCCAAGATTAGCTCCCTTTGCTTTGGCATCCATGCTGAACCTACTGCCTGAGACACCTGAGTTTTGAGGACCTGGATCTGAATTTTGACAGGTGGGTGTGATGTGGTGGCTAAGAAGACATTCTGAGAAGCTGTTTCTAGATGGAGCTGGCCTCAAGTTCTAGTTACCACGATGGGCATTTGTTACTAGGGCCTCCTCTCCTTGGTTTTAGGAAAGTCAACTGGAATCTCACTCAATTAGGATTTGGTAAATCCAAGAAAGAAAACTTCCTTGGTAAACTCCAGAAGAAACCTTCCTCGTGGTGTATCAAGGAGGTTGGTGGGAATGACATCTCTCGTCCTTACGTGCAGGGACTGAGGTGAGATGCTGTATGCATGGAATTTAAAAACAATAAAATGGAGCTGAGAGGATGTCATCTCATCACCTATCACCATGGGTGCAGCAAGCCTGCACAACCTGGTCAGTGAGAAAATATCCTACCAGTGCCCGATCACCCCTCCCCAGTCGTGACGAAGTCTGTTGAATCACAGCAACAACTAGCAATGAATCGGTGGTGGTTTGTTTTTCAATGTTTTTATTTTTCAAAATATACAATTTATTTACACTTTTATTTCACAACTGTAGTGTTGTATATTTATTCCAAAATCTTTAAATAACTCTGCAGTAAACAGTACAAATCACAGAATCGGTCAAACCCTTTCTCTATAGCCTTTACACTCATTGAGTTTTTAAAGTTTCAAGTAGTAACCATTTATGGGTAAGAAGGGAACAAAAAACAGGATTTTTTTTTTACAGAAGCTTGATATGTGGGATTAGAAAGGGGATCAGAGCAGCTACTGGGCCTGGGGCAAGACTAAGGGCTTGAAACAGTTTATAAATAAGACCCTCTTATGAGCAGTGAGGGTTTTGGTTATGAGGAAGAAAGGGGAGGAACCTCCTCTGCTGGGGTGGAGGCAGAAGGGGGGAGGTAAGGCACTGCTTGAAGACTTAAGGAGGCACTGGTTGGAAGGGTCCTGAGTGAGGGGGCAGGGGCCCTCTATGCCCTTGAGGGTAGAGGTTGAGAATGACTAGGGATGGGGGGGACTTCCACCCATGGAAAGGTCTCTCTAACCTCCCTTGGGGAAGCTTTGTGATTCTGGAGGCAGGAGGAGATGCCCAGAGCAGCTGGGGGACAGGTTCCCGCCAGCCTGGAGGCCTTCATCAGTGCCTGTTGAATTCAGTTCGCACCGTACACACCAGCAGGTGAGGGTCACGTATGTGGGTATGGGTGAGGCATGGACAGTACAGCCAGCATCTGTGATTGGTGGGGGACACAGGCGCTGCTCCAGATCTGGGGTGCAGGGGAGGTATCATGCTGTCTCTCTTCTTGGGAGCCCTTTATCCACCTCAGCATTCTCCACTCATGAGAAGAACAGTTGGAGCCACCAGGAATGGAAGGGAAGGCAGGAAGGGAAGGCAGGGAATGTGAGGGCCAAAGGCCCCACAGACCTGCTCCTGCTTTGCGCACCGGCAGCTGCACCGTGTGTGTGAGGCCAGCTCCTAGGGAGGCCAAGGTGCTAAGACACTGATGGGCCACAGCTGCCCCAGGGATCAGTTTCCTTCATTCCCCTGGGGGAGCTCCCCATTGACCAGGTCCTGAGGCGGTCCTCTGGGCTTAGGCTTTAGGCAGTGACGCAGGTGGAGAGGCCGGATGCATTAGGAAAGAGCTAGTCCCCGAAGGCAGTTTGGTCCCCAAGTGGCAGGTCAGGAGGGCAGTCTCAGGATCAGCCTCAGTCTTCAGGGTCTCCGTAGTGCCCTCTACCCAGCCCAGCGGTCAGACAAGGCCTATTCTGCCTGACCAAGCCAACCTTCATTTTAGGGTCTGGATGGGGTTGGGGTAGGGTGAGGAGTGTGGGGAGGGAGTTGAGGGTTGTCATTGTGTCTTCGGGTGGGCTTCTTCTGGCATATGAGTGTGGAAAACATAATCCCAAAAATTAGTGCTGATGCCAAATCCTAGAGAGGGAGACAAATGGAGAGAGGATGAAGCTCGCAGAATTGGGCCTGCTGGGAAGGGAGACTGGGTATGGCTCCACATCTGTCCCCGCTGCTCTCCCCTACTCTCAGGGCCATCCTGGCAGAGGTCAAGAGCAGGGCACCTGTGATTCTCATCTTCCCAAGGATGTTGTCGGACAAACCTGAGTTCTTTATCTGGTCTGAGTTTCTGGGAGAGCCTGGTCCCAGGAACCAGGCTAAGCATCATTCATGCTTCAGCCTCTTCCTTCTCTTTGTAGCTGCCAAGTTCATTCCTGCTTCAAGGTTTTGCTCCCAGGATGCTCTTTCTCCAGACAGTGCATGCTGGCTTCTCTTAATTTAAGCCTCAGCCCTAAGGACACTGCTGCAGGGACACTCTCCTGGGCCACTCTATCTAGTGCTCTGGCGTCCGACGTGGTAGCCACGAGTCCCAGGGACGACCGAGCCTGGGAAATGTGGCGACGGCTACAGAGGGACTTGGCTCTTCATTTCATTTCATTGTAATCTTTTTAAATTTCAGTTTGAAAACTTATACTCAACTTGGTTCTTGGAAAACTTTTAAGCACATTTGGAGCAATTCACATGCGTGAGTATACACTTTGGACTGCAAATCTTATCAACTCTAAACCAAGATCCAGTATTTCCAATGAAAATTTAGCCTCTGAGTTGAGATGTGCTGCTGGTGCAGCGTACACAGCCCTCCGTGAAGACTTAGCACAAGAAAGAGAAGGTAAACCAGCCAATTAATGATTTTTTATATTGGTCACACATTGAAATGATAACCTTTTGGGTTAAATGGAATCGATTACTAAAATTAATTCCATCCATTTGTTTTTAGATGTAGCTCCTAGGAAGTTTCAGATCACATCTGTGACTCAAATTAAATGTTATCAGATAGTGCTGGGTCTCCTCCCCATGGTATGTCTCGTTTTATGTCAGTTTTTTTTTTTTTTATTTTTAGTACTTCTTACCGCCTGAAATGATCTCTGCTATTGGTTGAGTCCCTTCTGTGTCTGTCTCTTTATACTCCCTGACCCTCCACCCTGCGCCAGCTTGCTTTGCTCCCTGGGTATCCCCAGGACCCAGAGCAGAATCTAGTCTTGGGGAGGTGCTCAGCGGCAGCTGTCAGATAAATAAGTGAACAAACCAGGGAGGTTGGGAGGGGCTGGCCGGCCTCACCTGACTGCTGATGTGCAAAGTGGTGCTTGACATGGTGGGCCTTCAGGTTGTACAGGTAGGAGCCCCGGTACGGGGAGCCGAAGTGCAGGTAGTAATGGGTCATGTCGTAGAGGACGTAGCCCAGCAGACCCCCGGCAAACACAGAGCCGCCCACCGCCTCGGGCAGGAGGAACCGTAAGCCCATGTAGAAGAAGGCAATAACGAGAGAAGCTGGCACTGGGGGGAAGACAAGGCGGGACTCATCGAAGGGTGCCTGTGGATGGAGAGGCTCCTGGTCAGAAGATAGTCCTGCCACAGGGCAGCCTGGGTTTCGGGCTTGCCGGTGGGAGAAGTACTTGGAAGGATAGGGCAGAGCAGACAGGCATTTTTGTGAGCAGGTAGCCCCGTGTCTGGGGAGGCTTGGCACTTCCAGTGGCTTTGGGGAGGGCGGGCCATCCCACGACAGCCCTAGAGAGACCATCCTGCTCCCAATTTCCAAGTCAGGATGGGACTTGGAAAACTGTCCAAACACAGAGATAAATGGGATATGGGCAGGAGGTTCCTGGTTCAGAGTCTGGCTCGAGCTTTAGCCTGGCCATGTGTTAGGTACTAGAGAAGAGGGCCCCACCAGATACCATTCGGGGTACTGAGGCCGAGGCCTAGTGTCTGGGAAGGCCACACACTAGCAAGCTAAGGCTGGCGCAGGTTCACATGATGGGGTAAGCTGGAAGTGTGAGCAGATCTCTTCTCCCCATCCCCATTCTAAATGGGAGGCCTTTTTCATCCCTGGGGGGGTTGTCACAGTGAACCAGAGAACAAAAGAGCCGAGCCTTTGGCTCCAGAGCCTCAAAAGCCAATGTCCCGCAAAGAGGTAAGATTTTAGAGTCAGTTTGGTGAGTATGCTGAGATGAGAGAGTCCCTCTCTGGCTGAGGAGAAGAGAGAGAAGGCAGCCAAACACAGAGTGATATGCGGATACAGGCCTCTCCTCAGACCAGGAGCAAGAGGCTCTGGGAAGCCAGTTCCTGGAAGAAGAAAGAAGGGAGGAAGGCAGGTCAGAGGCCCTGGGACCAGCTGAGAACTGCTTGGAGCAAGGACAGAGACACAGCCCAGGGAAGCCCCTTTCTCTGGGAGACCCGGCTGCCAGCCCTAGCCCAGGGGCTGTCCAGTTGCCCTTGAAGAGCCCCAGGTGTCTGGGACTATAGACTGGGCCCCCATCCTGGCTGTGTGTATATGATGCTGGGCAAGTTCCTTAAATTCCCAAGCCTCCGTTTTCTGCTCTGTGGAATGGGGAGAACTGTAGCTTCAGTTCTCATCTTCAGAAGCAAGCCCTACAAGGCAGTGCAGTGGTTTTTATCTGTTTTGTCTAATGGTATCTAGAACTGTCCCTGACACATAATGAGCACTTGTGGAATGAACGAACACAGGAATGAGTTGTTCGGGGGACTAAAGATGCATGGTATTGATGATGGCATACAGAGACACCTTCACTCTGTCCACGCCTGGCTCAGACTGGTACCCAGTCACTCCTCTGAGAAACGCCAAACACCCTTGATTTCTCCCAATCAGACTCTTGGGAAGACAGGCAACTCTTGTGAGTCAGTCCCAGCTGCCAGCCCAGGGGAGAAGGTGGTATCAGGGGGAGTCTGCCCGGCTTACCTTGTGGTGTTGCCCGTGCAAGATGAAGTGTAGGGTGATGAGGTAATAGCTGTCCTTGGGGGGCTTCATGTGGAACAGGAAGCGGTGGATGAGGTACTCCACTAGGGTCCAGGCAAGCATCCCCAGCATGAAGAGGCCTGGGAATGTGGACTTGGGCATGGCTACTGAGTACTCTGCAGGGTGGCAGGAGAGAGGCAAGGTCAGGGAAGACTGCCTGGGGTGCAGCCATACATACCTGGTGACTCCAGAGGCCCTCAGTGCAGCAGCTGTGAGGCTGGGCCACATTGCTGTACTGATTGTGTAAGTATATCTATGACTGAAGAATAATACATTATGTATCAACACCTAACATAATGCAACACTCCTCATGTCTTACAAGTAGCTACTATGATTAAATATAACCAGTCAAAGTCCTACTTCTGCCTACTTTCTCCTTGTAGCGTTCTGGAGAGTCCCTGTCTGGGGAGGAATTCCCAGCCCTCATAGCAGGGAAAGAACCATTCCATGGCCACAGACTTTGGCCTTGACCTTGGCTGGGGATCCCACCGCACCATCCTGTTAGAGGCCTGGAGCACCCTTTAGGTTGCTGCGGAGCTATAGTTCTGTCTCTAGACTCATCAAACACACCCTGGAAACTGCTCTGGGGGCCACCCGCATGTACAGACCCCACTGCTTGTCGAGCATGTTCACACATGCACCTAGGAATCTCAGCCTTGAACAGGTGTCTCCCTTCCTGGCACCCTGACTCCTCTGTTTGTTCCAGCCCCATGTCCAGCAGCTGCGCTGGGACCCTGAGGAGCTCCCCCTTCCCTCGCCTACCCTCCTTTTCCTTCCTCTCCCCTCCCCTCTGTTTGCTTGGCTTTGCAGCTCTTATTGCCTCTGCTGGTGGCCTGTGCACAGCCTGCTGAGCTGGAGGGCTAGGAAGGCAGGTGGAGAAACGGCTCTCATGCCACCATCACTGGCATCATGGCACAGCTTTGCCAACCCTCTCCACTTGACCTTTTGTACCACCACATTTAGCTCTCAGCAGAGGCTGCAGTTCTGACGGAGCTCTCGGAGCCCTCGAATCACCCTCCCTGCCACGCAGAAGAGTCCCTTCCTATAGGTCAAGTCTCCGCCCGCCCCCTCACCCCAGCATCACCCGCGTCAGCCCATGCAGCCGGAGCTGGTACCGAGTGGCATCTCCGGAGGAATCCTGCAGAGGGACCTGGGCCAAAGCTCTGGCATCCCATCCCCCTCCGGCTGCCGGCCTGGCAGCCCTGCCACTGTTGGTGATTGTTAGGGGAGTGCTGGGCGGACAGTGGGTGATTCAGCAGCAGCTTTCTGAGCAACAAGCCCTGTGCTGTGCCTGAGCTATTCAGCGTGGGCAGAAAGGGTAACTTTGGGCTCCCTGGGCCTCGAGTTAACTCTTGGTAACCAAGATTAGCTCTGGACTTCAGGGCACTTCCTGCAGCTTGCTCAGGCCCACGGCATCCTGGGTCAGGTGGGAAAACTGGGGCTCCCATTGCTGTGCCTGTGGCCCCTCTCATGTAAAGCATTCAGCACTTGACTTGCTACTCTAGGGAGAGGTGGGCAGAAGAGAGCTATGCAGTGTGGGGAGAAGGTACCTGAGTCCGGCAGAGAGAAGGGGGCTCTGTAGGTTTACAGTCAGGAACAGAATAAGTGGTTGGTGAAGGGAAGCCCACCTGAGCTACTCCCAACTGCCTCTCCTGTCCCACCAACTTGGCCTCCATTTTAGCCATCGCCCAGGGGCCAGCACCTCCCAGAGGCAGGATAGACAGACCACGGGGGCAGGAGGCATGTACCTGGGCCCAAGGTAGGTTCTGAGCTTGGGAGGCTTGCTGACAGAAATGGCCACACCCAAATCTGGTGCCTGGAGAGACATCCCAGAAGCTTGGTGGAAATAACCCCTGTCAGTGCCTCTCTGTTGCTTGCCCCCCAAACTGGGGACACTAGCCCTCCTCATCTTGCTGTGTGACCCTGAATCACTCATTTGCCTTCTCTGAGGCTCTATTTCCTCATCTCTAATGGGCAGGATGATAGGCCCTGTCTCGTGGGGCTGCTGGGAGAGTTAAATGGGAAGGTCCCTGGAAAGCCCAAGACCAGGCATGTGGTAAGTGCTCAGCGGAGGTCAGAGGGCAGTTACTCCACATCCGGGATCTGCTGCATGGGCCTTTGCCAAGGAGACACTGAGGACACATCCAGGTCTTTCTCTCCCAGGTTCTAACCTGTGCTAAGTGTGTGTACCATGCTGAGTTGGGCTCTCAGCTCAGCCACATGGTGAAACGATTTCATGTGGTTTCTTGACCAGCAACCCCAGGTCATATATTTCCTTGTACTGATTCAGTGACACCACCACCCCCACTCCACCCTCCCCCCCGCCCCGAGCTATTTTATTACTTCTTTATTGTTATGGCACCCGACGAGATGATTTCATTTAGTTTCTGCTGATGAAGTGCCTTTTTTTTTTTAATAGAGGCATGTTTTTATTTATTTGTTTGTTTGTTTGTTTTGTTTATACATGCACTGGGTACAGTCAGAAGCACGGGAGGGTGAGAGAATTCACCAGAGCCAGAGCGGGGAGCAGAGCAGGCAGAAGGACCGAAACACACTGCTGAGGGGAGCAGCGGGTGGCAGGAGAGGTCTGCGTGCCATGTGGGACCCTCCTCCCGTGGCCGGGGAACAGCCAGGGATCGAACCGGCGCTGCAGAAGCTGCGGGCAGCTTCGCAACCCAGCGCTCAACCGCTGTGCCACCGGGGAGGTCCTTAAGTGCCTTTTTGTTTGCTTGCTTTTTATCCTTTTGGAGAGGGTAGTGGGAGTCCGAGGACGTTTTTCTTTGGAAGACCATTTTGACAAGTCTTGTTTAAAACTGTGTGTATGATTTGGGGTTGTGTGTTCTCAGAATCTCAGAACCAGGGAGAGTACCAAGCTCTCCCAACTCCAGGAAGCAAATCAGGGAAGAACCAACATTACCTGTGGTGAAGGACTCGAAGAGCCGGACATTGCCCTGGGCGAGGGTTCGGTAGTAAGACCAACTGAGGTACAGCATTAGGGGCATCCAGATGATGGGGACGCTGTACCTGGGGAAGAGTCATCAGGGTGAGAAAGATATATTCACAGGTGCTCAACAGGGTCCCGCTTCCCTAGGGACACAGCTCTCCACTAGATGGGGGACAAAATGATACCAGCGCACATTCAGAAAGCATATGGAGACATGTGCTCGAAGGGACACTGTTGTGAGGGGTGGTGAGAAGAGCTGTGAATCCTTCTGTCCCAACTCTGAGATGATTTATTGGTGGAAAAGAACGGTGTCCCTGTAGCTACTGATTCTGTGCAGCAGGACAGATGCTGACCTCTTGTGGCAGAGAAGCTAATTGCAGGCAAAACTGTTACTTTGAATAATGGAGACTGGAAATCCTTCATACAAGCCTAGAATAGGACAGGGGCAGTGTTCCAAGTGGTTTCTGGCTACCAGTTGGATAATTACTCAGAGGACAAAGCCATGCATAGAAATGGATTATACCTATGGCCCGTTTCACTCTCCAAGAGCTTACTGTATAACTCTGGGCTGGGGGGAGGGGTCGGGAATCTAGCCACCATAGTGGTGGCACCATTAGGAGACAGAGACAGCCCACCATGGGTTCAGATCAGGGCTTACCAGACAGTCTTGGTGAGAGCCTCAATGAAGTCTGAGTAGAAGAGGCGGATGGGCCTCGTCACTGGCTGGTGGACCCACTCATCATACTTCTCTCCCAAATGGCCTACCTGCCACAGTAGAGGCTTCCGCCAGTCTACCAGGTCCTGAAAGAGACAAAGTCAAGTGGACACTTAATTTTCACACCTGTGCAAATTCATTCTTTAATCTCTTGGTTATAGCATCTTAATCCCTACCCCACCTCAGTTCATATGTTCTATATAGAGCTACCCATCCTCCTGCTTCAGCGATACAGAACTGACCAAGCTACTCATCCCAGTGCATGGTCAGAGAAATAGGATCCAGGCCAGGCCTATGACCTAAGCTGGCAACATGCTGTCAGTCATTCTCTCTTCCTGCCTGGGTTGCTAACCTGGCAGGGTATGACCCCAGAATTGCCAGCAGAGCTTGCCTAATGATTCAGTTAACACAGAAGAGGGTAGGGCCAGCAGTTAGAGACCCCAAATCCTGGTGATGATGTCTGAGCACGTGCCTTCAGTCACACCTGAAGCTTAAAGTCTTTTTTTTTTTTTTTTAAATTTTTTTTTTTTTTAATAGAGGCATGCTTTATTTATTTGTTTGCTGGTTTGTTTGTTTTGTTTGTTTTATTTATACATGCACTGGGTACAGTCAGAAGTGCGGGAGGGTGAGAGAATTCACCAGAGCCAGAGCGGGGAGCAGAGCAGGCAGAAGGACCGAAGTACACTGCTGAGGGGAGCAGCGGGCGGCAGGAGAGGTCTGCGCACCATGTGGGACCCTCCTCCGGTGGCCGGGGAGCAGCCGGGGATCGAACCGGCGCCGCAGAGGCTGCGGGCAGCCTCGCAACCCAGCGCTCAACCGCTGCGCCACCGGGGAGGCCCTGAAGCTTAAAGTCTTAACCAGGACTCTTCAGGCACTGGAGTTAATGTATTCTTTAGCAGGAATGAAGTAGGCCCTTTTCCCTTCACCATGGTCTTTCTCCTTGGTGTTGGCCTGGGTAATTCATTCATTCAGTCATTCATTCAAACATCATTCATTCAACAATTTGCTTCATATTTCATATAAACATGAAAGTCTATGCTAGGAGCTGGGAAGAATAAACAGGAATGTAAGAGGCAATCTTTACTTCACATAACTTAATGCTTAATTAGAGTTTGGACTCTAGAGACATACCTGGAAACAAATCCTGGCTCCGTCACTTGCCATATGATCTTGGGCAAATTACTTGACCTCTCTGATCCTCAGTTTTCCCAGCTATGAAATGGAAGTAATAAAAATGGTACCTGCATGAAGCGCTCAACAAGGCGAGACATATGGCAGGCCAGACATTTCAGGGGTGATGTAGGCAGTCAGAGATCAGGAGGCAGAATAACTGGCCCAGGGTAGGAGAGGAAGGCTTTGCAGAGAACCTGGGTTTGGGCTAGAGCTTATACAACAAGAACTTGGTGAAGGGAAAGGAGAAAGAGGGGAGGAGGAAATGTGGGCAAGTACTTGGGGTTGAGAACAATTGTGGTCCATTCAGTACATTGGCATTGATCTGCACAGCAGCAGGACAAAATCTGCTCAGGGCTTTAGATGGTGGGCATCCCATACCAGACCAGGAGTTGCCACTGCATCTCCCAAGCCCAAGGTGGGGGTGACTATGTAAATCCAGGGGAACTTACTGGTTGATTGGCAGAAGTGGGGAAAAATATTAGAGACTTCATTTGTGATATATTTGTCTTATATTTAAGCCATAGTTAAATATTTTCTAAATTATGTAATATTAATAATGTATAGAAAATTAAAATGGGCATGTAATGGAGAGCATGTTCAAAATGTTTATCTTAGGTGCAAGATAAACAATGTTTACAGGCCACAACTTTAGGCAATGGGAAGCTCTTGAAGATTGCTGGTGAGTCAGTGTGTGGAAGACTAATCTAGAGCCAATCAGTAAACTGAAAGCCGGAAAGAACACTGGCCTTGGAGGGAGGAGGCAATCTGCTAAGCCTGGCTCTCCCACCCAAGGTGGGATCCTGGGTAAGTGTCTACTGCTCAGAGCCCTTCTGAGTGTGCCTAGACTCGCAACACAAGAGAGGGCGAGATGTGCCTATTGCCTAGGGCATGGTAGGTGATGAGAAATCTCCAATACAAGGGAATAGGGCAGCCTCAGCAGGTAAGAAGGGAGGTGGTGAAAAGAAAGGAAATGGGAGGAGCCAGAAATGTACTTGGAGGAAGAGTCAATAATGGTTTAGTAACCTGTCTTCCTGTAATGCTGGCAGGAATCTCATCCTCACACAGGCCTCCAAACCAAAGCAGGCTCGGTTCCAGCAGGTGTCCCAGCCCGGGAGGTGAAGCTAGCCCAGCTGTCACAGCCTTGGAGCAGGGGTCTGGGGGTCTCAAGGCAAGCAGGGAAGGTCACTGAGCATTGTCTCTATGCCTGCCACAAGGGGGAAACGCTCCCAAATGAGGTGGCTCCTGCCATGTGAACTTGGAAGCCTTCCCGCTTCTTAGGTTGGAAGATGACCCAGGTCAGTTTGAACTGATCCCATCCAGCACCAGCTAAACCAGTTCATCATCCCAACCTTGTCTGTTCTCGCTCTCTTCCTGTTCTCAGTCCCCTTGTCTCCTTGACTTTGTACCTTGGGTCTAGCAGCAAATCCCTTTCACTTGGTCTCATTCCTTCTGTTCCTCAGGTGCCTACACACACCACACACACACACACACACACACGCTGCCTCCACTACTACCAGGAAAAAGAACTGGAGGAACCAGCTAGTGACCTGTGTTTACACCTTATCTTTCACAACCTTCAGAGCCTCACCTCAGAAGAAGCTAAGCCAGTAAGGGCTTGACAGCACGGAGAAGTAACACAGAGCATTTTTGTTACTTGCCAAGCCTGGATCTATTCACTTTACATGAGTTTTCACTTGATCCTCATGAGGCACCTAAGTAGGCAGGTATTATTATTGTTATAATTTTGCAGATGGGGAGATGGAAGCAGTAAATTGTCCAAGTTTGCCCAGTTATATCTTTTTGATGATTTGACCCCTTTATCACTGGGGATTAGCCTGCTTGGTCCATGAAGTACTCCTTGTCCTGAGTACTTTTTTTTTTTTTTTAATAGAGGCATGTTTTATTTATTTATTTATTTGTTCGTTTTGTTTATACATGCACTGGGTACAGTCAGAAGGGCAGGTGGGTGAGAGAATTCACCAGAGCCAGAGCAGGGAGCAGAGCAGGCAGAAGGACCGAAGCACACTGCTGAGGGGAGCAGCGGGCGGCAGGAGAGGTCTGTGCGCCATGTGGGACCCTCCTCCGGTGGCCGGGGAGCAGCCGGGGATCGAACTGGCGCCACAGAGGCCACGGGCAGCTTCGCAACCCAGCACTCAACCGCTGCGCCACCGGGGAGGCCCTGTCCTGAGTACTTTTTGATTTTAGAAGCCCATTTAGATTTTAATAGAATCACCAGGCTTCCTATGCCCAGTGTTTTCATGGTCTGTCTTTTTCAGCCCTTTTGCTTCTAACACGTGTATGTCTTTACATCTCTTGCAGAAAGGACATAGTTGGGTCTTGTTTTCTTTTCTTTTTCTTTTTTAAAGATTTATTTATATATGCATACAAGAATTGGGGTACAGGTCAGAGGTGTGGGGGATGAGAGGATTCACCAGAGACTGAGGGGGGAACAGAACAGGTGGATCTACTGAAATACACTGCTGAGGGGAACAGCGGGCGAGACAGGAGAGGTCTGCAGTGCCCTGTGGGCTATTCCCTGGCCAGCAGGGGGATCGAGCTCATGCTGCAGAGGTTGTAGACCGCTTCATAGTGCTGTGCTCAACCCCTTGTGCCACCAGGGAGGCCCGGGTCTTGTTTTCTTATTTAGTCTTTCTTATTTACAATCTGTCTGTAATTTGAATGTTTTTAAATGCAATTAACTGTAATCCATTTACACTTAATGTCAAAGTAGGTTACCATCTTGGTATTTGTTTTCTATTTGTCTCCTCTGTGCTTTCTTGTCTAATTTGAATTAATCAAGTATTTTAAAATCCTTTATATTATCTTCTTGCTGGTGTTGTAGCTGTGCCTTTTTGTATTTCCCCCAGTTACTGCTTGAAAGATAATATTCATCCTTAACTTACCACCATCTGTCTTCAATGAAACCCCTGGCTTTTTTTTTTTTTTTTTTTTTAATAAATTTTATTGTTATATTCCCCATACAATTGCAGCCCCCCATTCTGACCCCAATCCCTCCCCTCCCACCCCCGCCCCCCTAAAAGTGTCTCTGGTTCATAGTTTTTTGTTGATTTTGATTTTCACTTTCTTATAGTTATTCATTTTCCTGGTCCCTTATTTAAGTTTTCTAGATTCCTGCTATGAGTGAGACCATCCGGTATTTTTCTTTTTCTTTTTGGCTTATTTCGCTGAGCATGATCCCTTCCAGCGCCATCCATGTTGCTGCAAATTGCATGTGTTTATCATTTTTGAATGCTGAGTAATATTCCATGGTATATATGTACCACATCTTCTTGATCCAGTCATCTATTTTTGGGCATTTGGGTTGTTTCCAAAGCTTAGCTATTGTAAACAGTGCTGCTATAAACATAGGGGTGCAGGTGTTCTTTGGAATTGATGTTTCTGTGTCCTTTGGGTAAATACCTAGGAGTGGAATTGCTGGATCATATGGAAGCTCTATGTTTAGTAGGTCCAGAAATCTCCATACAGCTTTCCACAGTGGTTGGACCAGTTTGCACTCCCACCAACAGTGCAGAAGAGTTCCTTTTTCTCCACACCCTCGCCAACATTTGTTGTTGCTAGTTTTTTTAATATGTGCCATTCTCACTGGTGTAAGATGGTATCTCATGGTAGTTTTGATTTGCATTTCCCTGATGACAAGTGATGTTGAACATTTTTTCATATGCCTGTTGGCCATTTGCATTTCCTCTTCAGAGAAGTTTCTTTTAAGCTCTTCTGCCCATTTTTTGACTGGATTATTTTCTTTGTTGTTGTTGAGTCTCATCAGCTCTTTGCAGATTTTTGTGATCAGTCCTTTATCATTAGTGTTGGGTGCAAAAATATTCTCCCAGTTGGTGGGGTTTCTCTTTGTTTTTGTTATTGTCTCTTTTGCTGTGCAAAAGCTCTTTAATTTGAT